ATAAAAAATCAAAAAAACTTGTGTTGTTTTGTTATTGCATGCATCTAGGTTAAATAAAATTGGCAGTTAATAGTATAAATAATACATAAAAAGATTAAAATAAAAGATGAGTAGCTTTCATAAGTTGATATAACACAGGCTTCTTGTTGATTAAATTCTTGAAACAAAAACTTGCCTATTTTTGATTTATTGTCAATGATTTTTTATTGAAAAATCGTTACAAGCGCAAGAGAAAAACGATAATAACACAGACTAGTATGTTAAAGCATGTCACACTACTGTTTATGTAGTTTTAAAAATGTTTTCTATTACATATATTTATTAAATTTTAATGAAAATAACGTATAACACACTGTTTTTGTTTAAAAAAATATGTGCTATCATAATAACATTCGCGTTTCCTAGAGATTTACAGTCCATCTTTTATTCACAGAACTTATCCATTCACAAAAGCTCAGGTCAATATTAGGAAAAACCTGTATATTTTGCAAATTCTATATATTTTTAATGTACAGAAACTATTTCATCAGGGTTGCCACTATAATTTTTTTTAAAGTTTTTTCCTGAGTATTCTGTGAATAAAGAACGTTTTTTCCTGAGTTGAACTCTTAAAGTTCCCTTAGTTTTCCCTGACTTTTTTATATTTTTTACTGTTCACCAACGAGATTATTATTTTCCTTTAGTTAAACACAATCTTTATATTTGACTTAATAAAATTTTTAAAACATCACCCGCAACTAGCAAACTTATTATTATATGTATATGCAATATATATTCGAAAAAAGAAATTGTTGTACAAAATTAAAAAAAAAAAAAAAATTCTCTGAGTTTTCTCTAAATTTTATGAAAATTTTAGAAAATCCTTGAATATACCAGCTTTTCTCTGGGATTCATGCTATTTCCAGGTATTCCAAGTTTTCCAGGTTGAATGGCAACCATGTTTATTTATTTTATCAAACTCTGTAAACTAATAGTTTGAGATATTAAAACTTGGGGAAAGTAATACTTTACTGATCTTTCTGAAACAAAAATATTCAAAATAATGTTGTAAGATGAAGTGTTAACTTGCTAGATTTAGATGAACCATTTAAAGGAGATTATATAACTAATGTGAAAAAAACAAACATTTGTTGAAGTAATGCATTTTCTGTTGTTAATCATAAATCAACGCAAACCAACTCTAAAAACAAAACATAAATACTATTAAACCTCTTTAATAAATTTAATAAAGTTTTATTAAAACTTAAAATTTAACTAAGTTGTATACAAAAATAACATAGATAAAAAATTTATTACCAAAAAAATTTAATATCTTTTTTATAACATTGTCAATAAACGTATTATATATGACTCTATAATATCATATAATAACACAATGAAATTAACTTACTATAGCAAGTGAAAAATACAAAACACTCATGATTATTGAAAGATTCAGTTTTTGCAGTATCAAAATATTATTTCCATTTTTATATTGCACTTGAGTAGCATTTTATGATTGTATATATAATTTATTTAAGAACATATTTAAAAAATTATATAACATCCTGTGATAATTTAAAAACATCTTAAAACCTTAAAGCTCAACATTTCCCTCTTTTAGACTAGCCAAATTGTTTCTTAAACAAATGTCTAAATAATGCTATTGAAATATATATAAATATTTAAAGTTTAAAGAATTAAAAAATGTATTTATTAAATAAATTTATTCAAACAAAATGTGACAATTTTTTTATTACTTCAGATAAATAAAGCTAAACGTTAAAACATTTAATAGTTTTTGTTATTACTTGCTATTATGTGCAAAAAGTGCCATAAAAAACTTTTTTTACATTTTTAATATAGCCAATATTAGGCCAATGTAGTTACGGATTAGTATATACTTTTGAATTTATTGTGAAACATTTTCAAAAAATGGTATCGTTTGACAGAATAAAAAAAGGTTTTGATAATATCTTTCCATTTATAAAAAAAATTATAAAAATAAAAAAAAGAAGGTATATTTATTAATCTTCCAAGAATCTTAAAAGGTTCTTTATAAGAAATAAATTTCAAGAGATTCTCGTGACTTAATGTTTTGTTTTTTTAAACAATGAAATATTTGTTAACATTTAAACGTAATGCTTAAAACATTTTTTACTACAATCTAAATTAATAATGTAACAATAAAGTAAATAATTAAGTTATTTTTGTGTAAGATCTTAAAGTTATTTTTTTTATTTTTATTGCTGTATTGGCATTTTGAATGTTTGATTTATTTAATAATCTTTATTAAATAAATGAAACATTTCAAATGTTCGATTTATTTAATAAAAAAAATGCTTTCTTTAAATAAAAGTAAATAAAACGTTTGAAATGTCATACAGTATAATTTTTTTTTCATAATTTATTCATAATAGTTTAGATTATGAAGCTATTATAAGATATTTTATTAAAGGTATCAATAATAATATTATTAATACCTTTAATATTAGTAAATAATATATATTGTTAATATATATGTGGTATTAAAGTTGTTAGAAGCTGATATTTTACATTTTAAACATGTCTCTTTTGTTTGATTTTGTTCTGTTTCTCTGATTGTGAAACCCCATCTACTAACATGTTGCAGTGCACATAAAGTGATGCTACTAGAAATTATATTCTACTTATTAAGAGCTTTCTAATACTCCATCTTCCTACAGCAGAGGGATATTTTTTATATTTAGTTTGTGAACAGCAGTTAACAACTTTAAGCTTATACATTAACTTTAGTTATAACTTAGCTATTAATGATTTGAATTATAGTTTTTTAAAGCGATACAAGATGGAATTTAGCAGAAGGCTAAACTTCTGCTCTAGAGACAAAAAAAGGAAGACATCGAGAATGACGAGTCAAAATAAAAGTTAAAGAAACAAAAAATTTTGTATATCTTGGTGTAGATAATTTATACTCATTTTCTTATAATAAAATAAATAATATTTATTAACTTTAGGATTTACCTGTAACTCCAAACCCTTTGCAGAAGTTAAATGTTTGCTCTGAGAAGTTGAATTAACAAAATTTAATAAATGGTAAGGTTTTATATAAAAGTCTTTATGTCTGTTGATTGAAAACCTTTATTCATAGCTTTAACTTTTACAATTTTAAAAACTTTTTCATATACTACGGTCGAAAAGTCAGAGTGTTAATTAACATTTTTTGTGTAATATTCAACATATCAAAGCTTACTCCACAGACTTGATCGGGAAGCAGGAGCAATCACTCTTGTATACTGACCACGGAAATTATATTTAGCGAAAAACAGGCCATATTTTTTAACTGTTTTAAGATTATAAACGTAACAAAAAATTTTTGTTGGATTTCAAAGTTGGTTTCAATAACTTTGAAATTCATTTAAAATCAACTGTTGAAAAAAACAACAGAGTATTCATATCATATTCAATTTAAAATTTAACAGTTGCTGGTGGTTCATTATTATTCATTATATAAATGTTTATTTAAATTTATTTAATAGACGAACGTAATACAATGTTTTTATAGATGATTTTATTTTAAAAATTTTTATTATTAAAATTCAGAACTAAACGATGTAAAAAAAAGTTATTTACAAACATTGGACAAGGTCTGAACTGTACCTGGAAAATCTGGAAAATTTATTAAAATTGACTAAAGTCGTGGAACACTTGGAAAAGTCAAGCAATTATTTGTTTCTTTAGATAATCATGGAAAAATCAGTAATTCTATTTAAGAAGTTACTCGTTTTACAATTGAATGCTGTATTTTGAAAACATAAAGAGTCACACTTTTTTTTAAAGTAAGGTTATTTAAAAAGAAAATTTTTTTTTAGGAAAAAATAAAATAAATATTTTTTCAGATAAAAGAAACAATTTTTAGATGAATCAAAAATAAAAGTTTTTAAGGAAAAATGTTTTTCACTCTCTTGTAAAATTTTAATTTAATGGCTTGTCACGTTTTCAATATACAGCGATTAATTATGCTATTATGTATTATCAACTTTTTGTTATACTTTTAATTTTAAAACGCTGAAAAAGAATCAAAAAAAGAAAACATCAGTTTTGGGTAAGAAAACTATTTAAAAAACGTTTTCAGCAAGGTGCATTTAGTTCTTTAGTGAAAGAAATGAAGCTATTTGATAGAGAATTTTTTTTATCGATATTTAAGAATGTCTCCTGACAGACTTGAACATCTTTTGTTATTAGTTGGATCTTCATTAACGAAAAAGTAATGTCCCAGTAGAGATTCTATATGTCAGTCGCAAAGATTAATTATAAGAATTCGATACCTTGCTACAGGAGAATCACAACAAACTCAGTCATTTTATTTTCGAGTTGACAGAGCAACAGTTTGCCATATAATCAAAGAAACTTGTTGTGCAATATGAAAAGTTCTCAAGAAAGTCTTTCTACGAGCCCCAAATGACGTAAAGGAATGGCAAAAAAATGTTAAAGAGTTTTATCAAAAATGGAACTTTCCACAATGTATAGGAGCTATTGATGGAAAACATGTACGCATTGAAGCACCTGCAAAATCTGGATCTTCTTTTTATAACTACAAAGGATTTTACAGCATGGTTTTTTTAGCAATTTGTGATGCTAAATATTGTTTCACAATGGTTGACATTGAGGCTTGTGGAAGGATTAATGATGCTGCCATTTTAAGTGCGAGAACGTTTGGGAGGGCATTTAATAAGAGTTATTTTAATTTACCAAAAATTTCTAAATTTGATTCTAAATATCCACCGGACCTTGTTGGAGATGACATATTTGCACTTAAACCATGGTTAATGAAACCGTACACAGGTAAAAATCTTACTGTTCAGCAAAGAGTTTTTAATTATCGCTTATCTATAGCACGTAGAACAATCGAAAATAGTTTTGGAATTTTAGCAGCTAGACGGAGAATATACAGATCTCCAATTAAAGCAAAGCCATTGAAAGTGGAACATATAATAAAGACTACTGTTTGTTTTCACAACTATTTGCGTTCAACAGATTGAGCGCATTATATTCCTACTAGTTTTGTTGATAGTAAAAGTCATTCAGGAATTGTTATTCAAGGAGATTGGAGAAAAGAATAACAAGATCAAAAGTGTTTGCTTGATTTCTCAAAATCAACAAGTAATAGATTTGTTTTTGATGCAATTGCAATAAAAAATACTTATAAAGATTATTTTAATTCATGTGAAAGAAGCCTTTCGTGGCAAATGGACTATGTTCAATTGTGTGGCCACAATCCAGTTAATAATTAAAATGTATGTAATAAACGAAACTTCCCAATAAAAGAAAATAGGTTATATTTAACAAATCAATAATTTACAATTTTTTTTTATAGTTTAAAGATATAATTCAACAGTTACCTAATAATTAATAAAAGATTGCCATTTAATACCTCCATGATTTCCTAAAATAAGTTATAGTTTATCACATCAATAGACAACAAAACAGTAAGCTAAATTTAGTCTATTCCAATGATTAATCAAAAGTAACTTCACATCTAATTTTACTTACAATGTTATGTTTCTTGCATCAATAGGTTAAAAAGAATAGTAGGCCAGAATGTGTCTTTTTAAACATATTATCAACAGTTACTTCATAGTTTATTTACTTCTAAAGAACAGTTTTTCCACATTGACCAGTTAAGTAGAGTAATAGGCTAGATAGTTTCACTTCTGTCTGGAAACTCTAATTTAAGAAGTAATGTTTGTATTTGAACTATAGCCAAGGCTTTAGAATAGTTGTTTAAGCGCTTAAGTTGCGGAACTAATGATTTCATAAATAAATAATCTTCATCATGCTCTTCAAGAGTCGGATTTTAAATATTGGAGTTGATTTTTTCTAATGTTTTCACTAAGGTTCTATCAAGTAAATCATCAGAATCCAACTTTTTTCTTTTTTTTTGTTATTAGCGTGAATTGTTGACTCAATTGACTCTCTTTGCACGCAAGTATTTATTCAGCTGTTTTCTGTGGTCACATCTTCAGATATATGATCATTATTAAATGGATGATGAGTATTTTCAACTTGCTCACATACCATGTCAATGTTTTCTTCCAAATTCGATGTTTCTAATCTGGAACCAGAAGGTAAACAAATACTGGTTGTTGTTTCGCGATGTTCTATAAAAGTATTTAGCCAATCGAGCTGAAGAAACTGAGGTGAAACTGAGTTCCTTCCAGAACCTGACGGAATATTTTTTTTTGATTTCAGCCACCTTCCATAACTACTTCGAATGCTTGTATATTTCTCTTCCGCTTGATTAGGAGATAAGTTTGAAAGACGACCAACTTCTTCCCATGCATTTTTCTTTTTCCATTTATCTTTAAAATCTTTATTAAACTTGCCATACAATACTGGGAATTTTTGAACTTTATTCATAAAAGCTGCTTTAGATAGTTTTTTAAACACACATAACGGAGTTATCATTATGCTTTGTAAAAAGTAAAGATGTTTTATTAACTTTACAGTTTTTGTGCAGTTTCCAATAAAAAATTAACTGCGCGACTAAAAAAACGGTTGCAGAAATAGAATTTTTTCAATACTCACAACCGGAGTTGTACAACATGAGTTTTGTTGTACAACGGACGTAAAGTTATGCAACTTACGGTTTAAAATGTTTCCATTATAAAACAAAGGTGTTGTACAACTGTTATACGACATTTCTACAACTATTGGAAATCAAGCTTTAAATACAAAAAAGTTACTTAGAATTCACAAGGTCTTGAAGATTTGAAAAACGCATGCGCTAAACTTGTGACAGCGCTTGCTAGGTCAGCGTTTTTAAAAAAATTATAAATGTAATTTTGGTGCATCTTATCTAGGGCTAACCGATAAAAGTATTGATAATTTTATTCTGAAATGATACATCCTTAAAACAGCACCTACATATAACAATTTTTTCAAAAACTAAGTACTATGCCTACAAAAGTAAATCGAAATAACTACACATTTGAACCAAGATTGTTTATTTTTCAAATGGAGCCACGAAAATATGTAAATAGTATAATAAAGTTGGGCGTCATGTGGGAGATTCCTAAAGAAAATACGAGTATTTCAGCAGATCCATGATAATCATCTTTTGGAATAGTTGATGAGCTAATGGAAGATAATTTTTCTTTAGGCACTACGACAACTGTGTTTTATGCTCAAAAATCATTTAATTTCAGTTTTCAGAACTAGTATTGGTTGATCTTTATGCAGGAACATTGACATTTCATCTATAAACTTTGCAAACGGATTGTTTTCAGAGCCTAAAATGTCACAAACAATATCTTCAAAACTGCACGATTAACAAGTTCCAGAAAAGAGATCTGTTTTCTATTGCTTGAAACCATTGTAAAAAGGTTTTGTCTAACGCCAAAGCCCACTACTTTCAGGTCATGAAATATCTCAAATGTTAGGCTCTAGTGACTTCTGAAGAATCTTCAACTGTATTGATAATAAGGGCAAATCTGTTATTCCACCTCTATTATGTGGTTCAGATTTTATTACCTCACCTAAAGACAAAGTTGAATTGTTAGCTTTTCATCAATATTATCACTTGATTCCACTAGCTGCGTTCTCCCTGATATTGCCAACAAACAGGTTGATCGATTGATTGACATTAAAATTACTTCGGCTTCTATGTCTAAAGTTTCCTGCTTCTTCATATTCTGCAACATCAGGGATTCCTTAAGGTTCTATCGTTGGCCCTATAGTCTTTTTGATTTACATGAACGATCTTTTCTACAACGAAAATAAGTTTGTTTGAGCCACGAAAATAAGTTTGTTGGGTCTTATGGATATATTGAGGTTAATATGATTATGATCCCACGTTGGGTTAATATCGACGAATTGATCAATTGAAATCGCTGGGTTGTTCAATTAAATTTAAAACAAATTTACATGAAAATTTTATACACTCTATTATATTTATGTTAAATTTTAAACACTCTATATAGTTTTTTCTCATTTAACACAATAATATGATTTTAGATTCTACGCGGTCATATGACAGGAAACTACTATTGTAAACTCATATTATGCTTAAAACTTCTATAATCTAAGATTTTATCAGGATATAGAAAAAAGAGTTTCGCATGAATACTTATATTGAGTATTATATATCAAAAACGTGGCTATAAAGTAGGGTGTTTAACACTACTTTAAGTTTTACAAACCAACAAGTTTTAAAAAAATAAAAAATAAAGTTATTTCAAAACACTTATATCATAATAACATACTTAGAAAAACGATTACTTCTTATAATGTTTAGTAATGTCTTTGACAATAGGTAAACGTTCTAATGCGTTTTACAGAAAGATAAAAAACTTTATGTATAATTAACAATAGAACACTAATCTCTACATAAACAACTTTAAAAATTAATAATAAAAACATTTACAATTATATGCCTTAGTTACAAGCATGTCAACAAAGTACTTATGATTTACCTAACAATAGATTTATTTAAACTTGCTTTGTAGTTTAATGGTTTCTAAGAGTTTTAAATAATAATCACCAAATGCATTTTACTTGCTCAAACATATATATATATATATATATATATATATATATATATATATATATATATATACTCATATAGTGTCTCTTTAAGAGCATTTTAATGTAAAAAAAGTCTCTTACGACTACAATTTTAATTACTCGTCTCTTAAGCTGTTTTTGATTGTCGTCGAAATGTCAAAGCAATTAATTTATGCGGAAGTACATTAAATTTAATTGTTTTTTAACAAATTTTTAAAAAACCGCAATTATAACGACTAGAAAGTTTTTTTTAATTAGTGGTGTTTTTGTTATTGATTTAATAAAAAACATTTTTTAAACATGCGTAAATGTTGCTACATCGACTATCTTATAGCTTGACTCGCAACGGAGTGCTGCTACATCGACTGACAAATAGCCTGACTCGCAACGGAGTGCTGCTACATCGACTGACAAATAGCCTGACTCGCAACGGAGTGCTGCTACATCGACTGACAAATAGCCTGACTCGCAAGGGAATGCTGCTACATCGACTGACAAATAGCCTGACTCGCAAGGGAGTGCTGCTACAACGACTGACAAATAGCCTGACTCGCAAGAGAGTGCTGCTACATCGACTGAGGGTTTGGTTTGGCCAGGCAGTCTATCAATTAAAAAAAAAAATTTAATTTTTAAAACTTTTTCTGGTCTGGTTTATTAACGCGCTCTTTAAAACTACAGTTTATGGGAAATATTTTTTGATGCTACGCAAGAGACATGCAAGACTATATATATATATATATATGTATATATATATACATATATATATATATATATATATATATATATATATATATATATATATATATATATATATATATATATATATATATATATATATATATATATATATATATATATATATATATATATATATATATATATATATATATATATATATTTATTTATATATGATTTAAATGTTGACATTTTGTACAAGAGTAAATATATATATTAAAAACTAATTGAAAACATCAGATAATACGAATTCTCTCAATACTAAATAATTTGTTTGAAATTTTCGCCGGATTAACGGTACCGGCATCATCACCATATAACAAAATATAATTACAAAAATTGTAATTATATTATTTTATATGTAATCGTATTTGTAATTATATTATATTATATGTAATCGTATTTGAAGTTTTGTTTCACCGACATATACTATGGAGCATTTCCACTTAATTAATCAAGTTCCTGGGGTGCTGTTGCATGGTAATTTAAACTTATTTTTAGAAGTTAATAGCGTTTTTAGGTTAGCATTTGATTTAAAAACATCAAACTTAAAAGTGAATGATGCTTTTTTAATACCAGATTTCAACATACTTTTAACATAAGGGGCAATTCCAAACTGCATTTGATATTAAATTTTTGATTTACCTTGCATATAACACTTTGCCACAACGGAATCTGGAAAGATAGAGCTTAATCCTGCATTTTCTTTTTCAGTTGCCTTGAAACGATAACTACAATTAAC